GGATCTTAGTCTGGTTAAAAATAAACCCCCTGAAGCAGGACTTAAATTCAGCCTGACTTGCCTCTGTGCTAAGGATGGAGCTCCCAATAGACCCTGGTGGGCTATTGGAGACAACTTAATAAACAAGAAACATAAGGAGGCTTTCATTAAGCACCTGTATAGACAAAATAAGGAATTAAAGACGTAATTTATAGTGTAATTGCTACAAATTTCTGGCATGGCAAAAGCAGTGCACCTTGCCCAGCACAGTTCTTCCAATAACTTTATTTTTCAGTGAATAATCTGAATTTCTTAAAACCAGTGTTGTTCCTATGCTGATAGACCCAGCAACTAACCATTCAGAAAAAACTCTTCAAATAAATGACAACAGACCTGCCTCTCTTGGGTGTTCTTGACCATAAAAGGATGTATTTAAAATGCAAGTAATTTGGAAAGGAGAATACAGTTCTTTTATTTAAGAACTTGTTCTTAAATAAAAACCTGTTTCTTTCAAAGCAAAGCCAGGCTTTGCCTGCCAGTTCTCTAACATGCTGCATGTTAGAGCATGAAGTGAGAAACTTCAACTGAAATATTACTGAAAGGAGGGTTTTGTGGTTAGTAAATAATACCTCCTTTGGAGAATTATGGGCTGGCTGCTCCTGTTCTTGCTGTAGCAGAGGGATTGGTTGAAACACCTCATTCTTTGTAGCAGCATGCTGGCTTTAGATGCTGAGTGAATCTAAGGAGTTGGTGATTGAGGGCCCCTCTGAGGGATGCCACAGCAGCCCAGCGCTCCTCTCTAAACACAAGGAGCTGTTTCAGCAGTGCAAGATGACACTTCCACTGCCCCGGGAAACAGATTTGCATTGCAAAAACTACCTGAGCCTGACATTGTGAAATCGCTCCCCTGTGCTCCATGTACCATAAAAGAAGCCCAGCTGAACAGGGAAGGATGAGCCTCGCCCAAGCTACACGCAGCAAACAGCTCCAGGAGCCAGAGCTGGGGAGCAGGAAATGTGTGGGAAAGCCATCTGGTGAAGGCACTCAGAAACAGCGTGGAAGTCTTTTTTCATTCACTTCCTGACAAAGTAGTAATATGCTGCCTCATTATAGGAAGATGACTGCTCGTTGTTATTATTATTTGCATTAGTAACTCCTAGAAGCCCAAAGGTGGGGACAGGAATCTTGCTGTGTTACCTGCTGTGGGCACATGTAAGAGGAGACCTTTCCCTATATACACTCCCCCATAAAAGGACAGAAAGCACAGGATTGTGTTTTTTTCTTTTTTCTTTTTCTTTTTTTATCCGAGTGGGGAACTGAAACAGATGGGAGAGACTGAGGAGCTGGAAACAGAACATTCAATAATTTCCAAGCCTCGACTTTCTCAGCAGAACTGTTCTTTGCCTCCTATACTTTAGCTCTGAGCAGTTCTGGTGAGTGGTTTGTACCCTGGCACACTGCTCATGAGGAGCTCTACAGTTCTCCTTGGTAAACTTGGCATTTAGCATGGTGTGGACACACTGCTGAGAGCTCCTGCACCCTTTGCCGTGCTGAGGCAGGGGGAGGGAAATCAAAGCAATGTGCAGAAGGGATTTTAATCATCATGTAGCGAAATAAAAAATACTGTGGAGGTATTAAACTTGCTCTTTGGCATTTCAGTCACATCTTTCACTATGTGCTCCCAGTCCAGCCAACCAAATTTTCCCCATGGTTTAATGCTGTTCTAACCTCAGGCAGTATCTTTGTTCTGCTAAAAGCAGAGAACCAAAGGCTGTATTTCAAGAGGAGGAAAAGTTCCTTATAGCCTACTTACTATTATTAGATATTTAAAGTTCTCCTATATCACCACCTCATTGGAAGACCTCAAACCATTTTAAGGACCTTATTTTAGCCTCTTGGTGACAGAGGCAAGAGGCTAATTTTTAGATACTGGAACAGACTTAAAATTCTTATCCTTGAGTTTTCCTTATTAGTCTTTGCTAGAACTGGCAATGGATTTTTTTCAGTCCTAGGCATTAATTGCAAGACACAGTTTTCCAGGTCTCCTTGCTGTCCTTGTGTGTGCATGTGTGCTTGGTTGGTTGGCTTTTGTGCCAGGCTTAGACAAAGTGAGTATGTGTTGACTTTTCATCTCTGGGGAAGACAGAGTTAAAAAAAATGTCCTAACGACTAATTAGTTGGTGAAAGTATGGCAGCAGCAGGAAGGAGGAGGGGCAGGAATAAAGGAGATAGTGGCTGCTGCCCTGCTTTGAGGTAAAATAGTCTGAAGCCCAGGGAATCCAGAAGAAACAAGCAGGACCATGTGGGCTGGCAGCTCCTGAGGCAGACTGTCATTCAACACACAGAGCCTGGTGCCAAGGGGATACCTTCTCCAGGAGAGAGATGATTGAGTGTTGTTAAATGGGGCAACGAGGTGTTAATTGCTAAAAACTGTAGAAATTCAAATTTAAGGAACCAGTACTCGGTAGTGCAGAATGACTCTACCAGACAGAAGCCTGTCTGTGTCCTGTGAGTGAAGCAGGATAGAGTGTTGGATGGGGCAGACTTGAGGCTCTGAACAAGGCTTTCATCACTTTATCCCAGACTTCTCATAACAACCCACGGTGACACAAATGCAGTACCACGAACACGAGGAGAATACCAGCAACACCTTTAGGGTCACAGAAGTTGTAACAGCACCTCTTTGTTGGACTTTTCCTTTCCCAGTGCTCAGTTCATGATCCCAGGCCAGACTCCAGCCTATGGCAGTATGGCTGTAGACAAGCACGTCTATGCAGCTCTTATTTGTCCTTTTTATTAATTGGAAGCCTAAGTTGTAACAGGAGCCAGAACTACATGGGTGCAGGGCTTAGGAAGTGCCACTGCCTCAAGATTTTTATGTGTAACCCCTTCAGAATAAGAGACCAGACACATGAGACTGCAAATACACTACAGAGCAGCAAATATGGAATATTAAGCAGCCAGGAATCAAGTGCTAATATAATGCTGGGATTTTAAAAAGCCTCAGCTGGAGCCCTGAGAATGGTAACAGATTGTTCCTCACTCTCTTTCAATTTGTCCAGGTTTTCCTGACTGTGAGAAGACTGTTTACCTTGCTATACCCATTGCTATATTTGAGTTACTGGCAAGTTTTGGCCAGGTGACAAACTCAATGAGCAGTGAATCATGCCTCGGCAAACATCAGCTCTGTCTCTATCAGAGCTTATCTGCATTGGAGAAAAACTGTCCTCCAAGCTGGGAGCAGGGCTGGGCTGGAATGGGAAGGGCAGCACCAATACTCAGCATTTTTTGAATGTCGTTTCTGGCACTAATAGGGAGTTAAGGGAACAAAACCCATGCTTGGACACCACATGCTGGCAGACTTAACTTGGTGGTTCCTCTGACAAGGCTTTGTGGAGTGGCTCTCTGAGCATCTGGCTGGGAGAGGTTCCTGTAGCACAAGGGTAATCCCATGTGGTTTAAAAGCCCAAAACAAGCTGTCTGGTTTGCCTCTCCTACCTTCTAGTCTGTTCTTCCAGTTTATGCTTATGCTGGGACCATAACAAATCTTACATTCCCCAGCCAGTGACAGAAATCATACATACACAGAAAATTATTGAGTCACTAGATCTGATGGGAGCCATGTTCTTAGCCCTGGATAAAAAACCTGACACAACACAGGGCTTGTGCAATCTTGGGTGGAAACTCTCATCCATAGTGTATGTGGAATATGCTCTGTCCAGAGAAAAGGTGAAAGATATGTAGCTCACTTGGGACATATTGCTTTAAAAACATGGATAAAGTTAGCAACATTCCTGAGCTAAGGAAGAGGAGGTATTTTTTTGTTTTGTTTTGTTTGGGGTTTGTTTGTTTTTTTGTTTTTTTTTTTAAAAGCCAGTTAACCAAATTGGAATAAGTGACTTTTTTAATCCTTGACAAGAACATCTACAGTGGAATGAGGAATTATTTCCTCAAGTGTTAGTACAGAGTCTCATACCAAAGACTAGCTCTTCTCACCTCTAGAGGCACAGAACAACTGCAAACACAGCTTGAGTGAAGACCTGTACATTTGGCCCTGTTCAGAGACCTCTGATCCTAGTGTTGTGGTTGAGGTGTCCACCCTCCCATAGGCAAAATCCCTGTGTCAGCCCCAGAGACTCAGCTCTGACAGAATCTAGTTTGAGAGATGTTCTTGCAGCATGAGATGGGCCTCTTCAGCACAAATGTGTGTGGTTTTGTTCTATGCTATTTTGGGAATAGGCAACTGATAACAAGCAAATGCTTTAGTCTGCTGGAGTAACTGTGTTCTCAAGCATTAAAAATATGGTTTGTACTAACTGTCCAGTGGGGAGGAAAAAAATGAAGGTTCTTAATTCCAGAAGACAGGTTAACTTCTGGGGAAAGGAGGCAGAAACTGTTAAGTCTTTTGCTGTCAGAAAGAAACTCATGCTGCAAGTATTCAGTCAATTAGGCTGATTTGTAGCAGCCTCACTATAAATCCTCTTTCATTCAGAGGCAAGTTAAGCTCTTTGATGAAACATGGCATTCCAAGGAATTTCAGTAGGTTCTCACACATCTAACCATGGCAAAGTTATCTGTAGTGACACACCATCTGAGAATGACATGGTATGTTCAATTCTACAACATTACAGCCAATGTATCTCAAAAAAGGGAGGCCTGTAAAAAGCCTTTCACCCCACTGTTGCAGATTAGCCTTCTTCTTGCATGCTACATTTGTTCAGCGTATTAGTAAATTAGAAACAGAATTTCTAAATCGGTTCTAGATACAAAAACAGTTGAGAGAGACAACTATGCAGTAAATGACCACTCAACCCAGAAACACAACTGTTTTGCCAAAGAAATGCATCACTCCTTAGAGGAGTTAAATCAGTTTAAAGGCGTGTCTTAGGGGCACCTGTGTAACATGACCAGAGGCAGAACCATTTGTTTCCCTGCAAGTGGGAGCTTTCCCACTCCTTTGCCCCAGAGGAGCAGAGCTGTGACCCTGTCCCAGGCCCAGCTGTGGCACCCAGCTGACTCACCCTGCTGAGCTGGTCCAGGAGTCTTTGGTTCTGCTCGGAGAGTTCCTGGACAGCGCGCGTCTTCTCGCGGTCGGCTTCGCGCAGGTGCACCTGCTGCTTCTCCAGCTCGTCCTGCAGCTGCTTCACGTCGCTCTCCAGTTCAGACACTCTTCCTTCCCACTCTCCCTCCTTGTTCTCAAAGCGCCGCCGCAATTCGTGTTTCTCTTGTTCCAGGTGCTAAATGATGGGGGAGATGAGGTTAGGAAGGGAGGGGAAAAAGGTGAATGTCTCCTTTTCCTCATCTGTGCTGGGGCTAAAACCTTGTGCAAGAACGAGGATGACGATGCCATGGAGATGGCAATTCCACAGCAGGGCAGGTCACTGGCACTAAAGCCATTTTCCATTTCCAGCAATTGGCCTGTCCTTGGCCATTGGAGTTCAGCACATTGGATTTTTACTGAAATAACTGCCAAAAGAGTAAAGTAGGCTGCATGTCAATAGGCAGAATATATAGGTCAGACAGAGCAATTGATTTAGCAGAGCCCAGCTTAACTCCAAAGCAATATTTCAGTGGTCAGTGGCATAATTCTTTTAAAATTGGCTTTATAGTTAAAAATACACAAACTGTATACCCTTACTGTTGGTGAGGAATGTAGATGAGGCATCCTTGTTGTCATATGGGTCTCATGAACAACAGCTGAATCATCTATCCATTTGCTTCTTCTATTCCTGACCTAATTAGTTGTCTGAGAGTTTGATAGTGCACAGTAACTCCATTGTTTGATGCACTCTGCTCTGGAATGGCAATGGATGCAATAAACTGGTTGCTATAGACATTATGTACGTTCATGTTCTGGGTTCAGGTTTCTTAGAAACCACTCTCAGTTCTGGAGACTCTGCTTCTCTTTGGATTGGCTGGAAAACGAGGGACACCACAAATCTAGTGAAACTTTTCCATGTTTTAAAGGCTCAGTTAAATGAGGGCTTGATTGAAACAGAGCTGCAAATCAGGTCAAAGCAGATTTATGTTGTGCCCATTTGAAAGAATCTCTGCTCCAAAACTCCTGAGTTTGAATTTCCCCTGGTGACTGAAGACACACATTTACTTTCAGAACAGTCACAGACTGGGGACATGGGCATATCCCAGGATTAGCAGAGAAACCTGAAAAACAGGAGTCCTCTCCTTGTTGGTTGTCCTCTGATCCCCAGAATAATCTCCTGCTACTCTCTATCAGATTCCCCAGTCTTTAAGGAACGTGTCTTAGAAAAGAACAGAAACCCACTGGGCCAAACACTGGTAGCACTTGCCTATTTCTCCCAATTGAATTGTTCCCTGGTGAACAATTCCCATGGCACTTCTGATAGGAGGGAAAAATAAACCTGCTAGGCAGAAAAGAAAATTGCACTGCATTTATGTGAAGTGGCTTTTTATTGCTTGTTAGAAACACAGGCTGTGAGGGGGCTGTTTTCCCTGGGTGCCTATTGCTGATGACACACAGCCTTCCTGGCAGGGTCCCTGTCACCTTCCTGAACAGGTCTGAATGTCACAGCCCTCCAGTGCCTCCCCAGCCCTCTGGCCAGTGTATGCTAATCTTCCATCTTTTTTTTTTTGTTCTGCCATGCAGATGCCATGTTTTCTCTTTCTTCACCCTGTCCCCAAATCCTTTCCTATGCTCCTTCCAGCCCAGTGTAGCAGCATGTTGCTTGTGCTCTTCCAAACCTTTCTGCAAATTCCAGACTCTCATGAAAAACCCTTAAATATGAGGGAAAGCTGATTAAAAACAGTGGCCCATAGTACGGGATTTCCCCATGTTTCAGACACTAAAAGAGTGAGAATCCTTGCAAATGAGAGCTAAGCAGTAATATAAATATTTTAATGTAATAGGTAGGCATGAGATCCCAGCACCTGGCCCATGACAACCATTGCAAAGAAATCTTGTTTGTAGTCCAAGTGTGGCTGGAGCAGCCACAATTTCACTTTCAGCGGCACACTGAAAATTCTGTCTTTTATAGCTCTGCCTCCTTCACTGCTAGGCAACGTTTAGAAAGATCCAGGGCCTTCTCTAAATGGAAAGTGGAACTTCAGCCTGCTGAGAAGCAGCACTGCAGCTCAAGTGCCCCAGACACCTAAATGTGATTTAGAAGCCACTGATAAGCCTTGCCAATCATTTAAAAAGCATTTTAGTCCTTCACTACAAAAGAAAATCTCCACTACACGCAGCCCGAATAAATGACCATCACAAAGGCTGGCACTAGAAGGATGTGAAGAATTTCAAGTTTATTCTGTTGTGACAGAGACACCAGAACAGAGCAGTGGGGCACGGAGAGGCTGTTGCAGAGAGGAGGATTATGTTGATGAGATGTGTTGACTGGTCCCTCCTGCTTCTGCCAGCAGCCAGCTCTCCTGGCCTGCCCTCACCCCAGCACCTGCAGGGCTGCAGGTCTGGAGAGGAGAATTCTGCACGTAGTGCTGAGAGGGCAAACTGCTGTCCCCAGTAGGGGAATTTCTTGTTTCCTGAGTGTCTCTCCATCCACCAGCTGTTCATTGATTTTTACACAGAATTGCTTTCTAGAAGATGTTTTCTTCTGAAAACATCTTCTCTTCAACTTAACTGAGCTGGGCCTCATCTGAAGACATGAAAGCAAGGGGGAGTTTCCCAGCTGATAAAGCGTGTTCATACTGTAAAACATCTGGACACAGCAGGCTCCTCTATGTCACAGGAACAGCAGTATTAACTGTTTTAATCCCTTACAGAGGATAAAACTGTCTAGGATCACATATCAGAATTTATTACAGAACTTCAATTTCACGATTAGAAATGAATTTAAATTCAGGCTGTGAAATGAAAGGTTTGCCAGAGTAGGTGTATGGCAGGAGTGCTATACCTCAGCAATGAACCCACAAAACTAGAATATATTTAATCTTGAGGCAAAGCACCCAATGAACAGACCGGTACCTTGGCTGTTGTGAAATGGAGACGCTTCACTGAGCTTTTGTAACCAATTCTGAACTGTGGACTGAGAGAAAATACCTCCTTCTAAGTGCTACTTAAACATCATTATATCAGGTTGTCACCAAGGATCTCATCTGGGACTTTGCTTCTTGTCACCATCAGAAAATTCTTAGCATAGGGAAGGAGAGAACAGCTGTGGGCCCTTCCTCTCTGTTCCTCTGAAATCAAAAAGCTTGTTGTGAAATTTTATTCACTTCAGTGGCAACAGGAGGAGGCCAAGATTTAATCTGAAGAGACTGGGATTATCAAGCTTGTGTTTCAGAAGATTAATGTTGAAATTTGATTTTTTGTGTGAAGCAGCACTGGGTTAAATTTGCCAAAACCAGTGCGAAAAAAATGACCCTTAAGTAGATAACACTAACTCCTCTCAAATGGGTAGCCTAGAAAATAGCAATCAGTTATTCCACTGTCAAGTTAGGGTGATAGTAAAGGGATGAAAATATGCAAACAGTTGGTTGTGTTTACAATCTCTTCATTTGCCTTCTGAATGGGCCTGTGAGAGTGGAGGTAAACATTTGTGGGATGTTATTTAAAGTACTATAATGTCATGGTTTCTCCCCTCTCCTTTTCACCTCCACGTTTTGCAAACAAAGTGGTACTTGAGGCTCCTGAACTCCCTAAGAGGCAGGTCAGTGGGTACCTAAACTAGTGCATTTTTCCCTTAATGGTAGGAAAGGTTCTACTCCAACTCCTAAGGAAAACCATGTCAACACAACACCACATACGTCTGTTCCTGCTTAAAGATCAACCTGGAAACATTCACTCTGGCAAATTTTAATACTCTGGGAAATTCTAATCTGATAAACAGAGCCACTAAGCAATAATTTGAGCAAATGTCACCTTCACTATTTTTCTATTGGAATAGCAAAGGCAGAGAGATTCCCCTGCAAAGAGGAAGGGATCAGCTAGGGTAAAATGACAAGTTTAATAAGAGAGAGGAATTTTTGTCAGGAGAACAAAGGGCATACAGTAATTTCACAAATCCTCTTGAACTTGAGAAATGTTAAGTCTGTGAGGAAGGAATACAGGAATATGCAGGACTGTGCAGAAAGGACTGGTCTAGGGCTGTGACTTGAAATGTGAGTGTTAATCCAGCACTGTTCAAACTCTCTCCAGAAAGGTGAGAGGCTTTTCTCAGCCTTCTAAGCAGTATTACTTATTGGAAGAAATACAATCTCAAGAGTACCTCTGAAGAACACTGAATAATAATAATGGCTCTCTCACAATTGTGCAAGAGAGTTGCTCCAAAAAAAAAGGTGCCTGCACAGGTCTTTTTCTTTGCAATAGCTCTATTTTATCTTTAAAAATCAATAAATAGCTCAATTCCCCGAGTTCCTGGCAAGCAGCTCTCTCCACATACCTGTAGGCATTTTTCAGAGCTAACAGCGATGTATCATTAGGGCTTATCTCCTGCCATGCCTAAAGCCTTAGCTGCAACAGCTTAAGCGTAAGGGTCACATATGCTCTGTAGCTCAGTACCTGCTGCGCAAATTTAACTTCCGAGGTATTTCTGTGACGAGATGAGCCGCTCACATCTCTCCCAGGTGGTCCTGGGGCAGAACAGACCCCCAGGATCCTCCGGAGCGCGGTGCTACAGCCCGGCCCCGGCCCCACACGCCGGCTGTCGGCCGGGGGGAGCGGGGTAGAACGGCAGCTTTGCCTCCCCCAGGCCTCGCAGGCATTGCTCAGACCCTTTCTTCCCCGTCACGGCCACAGCGAGTCCCGCGGGCTGCTCGGCAGGGCCCGCGCCCGCCGCCCGCCCCCGGCGCTCGCCGGGGAAGGGGCCGCGCTGCGCGGGGAGAACCCGCGGGCCGGGGCCGGGGCCGGGGCCGAGCGGAGCGCGGCGGGGCCTCACCTCCAGCTTGTCGGTGAGCTCCTTGTGCATCCTCTCGTACTGCCGGCTCATGTCCTGGTTGCGCTCCAGCAGCGCCTTGCCCAGCCGCGCCGCCAGCACCAGGTCCTTCTCCTTCTGCCGGATCAGCGAGAGCAGCTCGGGGTCGCGGGCGGCGGCGGCGGGCGGCGGCTCCGGCGGCTCCCCGGCGGCGGCCAGCAGCGCCAGCTCCTCCTCCAGGGCCAGCTCCAGGGCGGCGGCCCCGGGCGGCTCCATGCCGCCGGCGCTGTCCGCCTCCGCCGGTGCTGACCCGGCGGCGGGCAGGCGCAGGCACGGCGCCGACATGGCCCTGCGCGCCGCCGCCGCTCCGCTGCGCCCCCCGCGCCCGGCCCGCGGCTGCGGCGGCTGGGCGGGGAGCGCCGCCGCCCCCGGCCCCCGCCCCCCGGCGCCGGGCCCCGGCAGCGCATCGCCACCGCCAGTGCCACCGCCACCGCCACCGCCGCCGGCGCAGCCACCGCCACCGCGCCCGGCTGGCGCGGGGAAAACCGGGTCCTGCTGGCCCCTGCTGCCGCGGGCAGGTCTCGCCCCTTCTGCCGCGGGCTCAGGCCAAAAATCCCCCCAGAACATTGGGGAAGGCCAAGGAGAGAACTTGGCACCCCCGAGGGGCGCAGCGCTCGTCCCCTCTCCCCGCTCGCCGCCCGCTCCCCCAGAGCTCTAGCGGGGCTCTTTTGGTTGCCAGAGCAGCTCTCGGGATCTCTGTGCTCAGTAGTTCGCCCCGGGGAGCTGACTACAGCTTCCAAGAGCCACCGGGGCTTGCTTTCAATTTCAGATTGTTTGGGATGTTCTCGGGTAACATTTGTCCTAAAGGTACCCTCAGTGAACGTTGGGAGTTGTAGTCAGTTCAGCTCCCAGCACTACTCCCTCTATTAGGGGCAGGACTGGTTAGGGTTTCAGTTTTGGTTTTGTTGATTTTCTGTCTCCTTAGATCCCAGTACAGGAGGGAGGCTGAGGCAGAATACAGCAGCATAAACCTGTATATTGTCACATTTGCTAAGACCTCATTCCCTCAGTTTCTGCTTATACTTTAATTTCGAGCAAGGCTTTAATAGTGATTGCACAAAAAACATTTTAAAGGAAACTTGTTCTTTTGATTCCTAGATTCTGCAGAAAGGAATTATGAGTTTTACAGCTTTTTTCTTTGTATGCTGCTTTCTTGGGGCTTGCTTTCCTTTCCTTCATTTAGACCATGTCCATCTGTATGCAACAGCCCCAACACATCAGTCCAAGGTTGTTTTTGGCTGGGACAGTTGGTGAATGATGCAGGGCTGGCTCCTGCCTCGTGTCAGACCCAGGGCCCCCGAGAGCTGCTGATTATTCGTAACAGTTAGAACATGAATTGTGGGAATGCAAACTTCCCTCTGGCCATCTGCCACTGGGACTTGGCCTTTAGTGGGGATACACCCCAAGAGTCCAGCTTGGGGGACCTGTTGATCCTTAGCCTTTGTCCTGGTAGCATCAGCTAACAGCAGTGCTGCTTTTTGTAACGTGAGCACCTACTCTCCAAGGACTGGGCAGAGACTGTGCCTCGTGCTGCCAGCACTGGTCCCACCACGGTAACTGTTGGCCTTTATAACCGTTATGATTTCTTTTGGGCTGGTGACCCAGAGGTGACACCTCCTTTATCTCACAGCAATTCCCCCAGGCACTGACTTTTCCAGTCCTTTTGTCCACAGATGCTTAAATTGCTGGAGAGAGGGATTCACCATAAGGTGAGATGGTTTGGGCAATATTGGGCCTTTTAAAAGAAGCCCTGTCCCAAGAGGAGCTGTGATTGCACAGATTTGATCATCGCTATTTAAACACAGGAGGGCGTTTAATATTTAAACTGATTGTGAGCACCTTCTGCTGGAAGTGCCTACTACAGCAAACCAAGCCTCCTGGTGTGATTAATGAAATCCATTGTAGCAGTAATTTTCATCTCTAATGCTTCCTTCAGTGTATAAAACAAAAAGAGATTATACTGAGATGGTTTTAATCTCCCAAACAAAGCCTGAAACAAACCCCATTGCTGCAGCTGTTAGGATAGGGATGAAGAAAAGCTATTGCTTGGATGGAGAGGCAAAAGCACATATAAATCAGTGAAATGTATTGTAAATATGCCACCATCTTAGTCAGGCATCTATACAAGCTTAATGTGCTTTTGGGGACTATTGACTGCAAAACATAACTGTGTTATCTGGAGTAACCCTGGATTAAAGCTGTTTATAGCACAACATGTTATTGACTTTCACTTTAAAAAAAAAAATCCATTGTCCTGTGAATTTAATTATTGGTTTGGCTTTTTAGAAATATGTTATGTTACTGCGTCTAAAACTCCTTTGTGTACTACTTTATTAGCATTTTATTTTGTATATGTCATCCCAATCAAATACCTATGAAAAACTGATAAGCATAAAACAATGCAGTTTCTTTACAGTGAAATGGTGGCATTCTCTATTAGGATCCTAAAATGTATTTCAGCTGAGAGCTGGGACAGTTCCTGCCTGTAAGTGGACACCCAACTCCCATTTCTGCTCTTCTTGCCCTGTTTCAGGTTGGTTATGTCCAGAAAACAGAAGAATTAGTTATTGGAAACAAGTCAGACATAAGGGTTTTTTTTTGTTTTAACTGCACTGCTGAAGCCTGATGTGAGATTTCACTCCTCAGGTACTGCAATATTGAGTTGTTCATGTGGAGATTTAGATCAGGCGTTTCAAGAACTGGTGCTCCTGCAACACAGAATGTTCCTGTGTGTACAGAACAAATGATCTTTCAGCCTGGAAATCACTCCAGGGATGGCCCTTTCTGAAAATGCAAAAAGGCCAGACTGACTCAAGCACACAAAGAGCCAAGAGCAAGTGACTGATGCCAGTGATGTCATCACAGAACACAGAAATGTCACCTTGCCCAGGACATATGAAGGCCTTCTTTGTGATACTAGCAAAAAGGGTGAAAATAAAGCATAGGTATAAGAGAGTGGTGTAAAAGTCTTTGTAAGAGGGTCAGTCTTCTTTCCTTACTCAGATCAAAATCATGAAGGTCTGTATAAATAGAAAACAAAAAGTTCTATTCTTATGGGGCAAAAGGATGGCACTGACCTTGCCTCTAAGTAATTTTTTTCCCTTCTTGCTTTTCTCCATCCCACAGTAAATAAGCCATAGGAAGGGTTGGAGAACTGGACTCAAGGAACCATCCAGGGCAACCTGGCAGTGCAAATTCCCTCTGCTAAACAGGCTCCTAAGAGAGCAAGGTACTGAAACAGGCAATCCAGCATAAGCTGTGGATGCAGCAATGGGTATTGTCCTTCCCAGAGGGTCAAGGAGAGGTGAACTCTAAGATGTGCAGGCTCTTTAAGCCCAGTGTCAAGTATATTGTTAAATCTGACGCTTTGAAATCTGTGTCTTGCCTTGCAGGGGTTTCACTGGTTGGTCTGTTCACAAAAGAAGTGTGGCAGAGGGTCTAGACCTTTGGTGGTTACATCAGCAAATGCTGGAGCATGTAGGACTGTATGACTTGAGCAGGACAAAGCATTTTTCACACATCAGAAAAGCCGCAAATCCAATAAATGTCCAAGTGCTTCAATCAATACCTTCACCTCCGCTGTGAGGGCAGCACTCAGATAGCACTGCAAGGGATCATCCTTTTTTGTTTAGAGTAAAGGGAGAAAAAGATGTGTTGTGGGAAAGCCACAGCCAGACCTGTAAAAGTAGGTTATTGTCCTGTGCTTTTAAAGCCGACTGTGGTGAGAAAGGAATTCCCATCAACATCCTTAATCTTCCTGCCAGTGGGCTGACAGACTCCCAGGGGAGACAGCACAAGCGATCAGGTTTCTTTTGCCTATCTCTCTCTCTCTCTCTCTCTCTCTCTTTCTCTCTCTCTCTCTCCCCCTCCCTCCCTGTCCCACTCCCCACTTTCTGAATGATTAATTGCTTTATTCTTCTGTCTGTTTTCCTACACTTGATTTCTGACAAATATTTTACTTTTTTCTGGTTGTTTGTATACCTCTGTGCCGAGGTGTTACAGCCACAGCCTCCTCTACTGCAAGAGGTGCAGGCACCCTCAGTGAGTTTGCAGTTACCCTAATGAATAATTAAACGACATATGTGTCTTGCTTGCAAAACAGGCCAGAACTGCAGAACCAGAGATAAGACTCATGTGTGACCTTTCTTTTTCTTTGCTTCTGTAATATCCAAAGCTATCCAGCATGTGTGTGCCCAGCTTTTCCCTGATGCTGAGTAGAGAAATACAAGATGGGAAAGTGTATTTGCAGAGCTTGGTAAGAGTGAAAAAAACAGAGATTTATCATTAAACAGAAGGGAAAGAAAGCTGTTATGAGTGTTAGCCAAGAAAGACGTAGTAAAATAAAAGGCCATCCTGGTTTTTCTCAAGGCTTAGTATCTCTACAGAGTTTCTGACAAGTTTGTTTTTTCCCAGGGTTATCAATATCACATCAGGTAGAGCAGAAAGACCACTCATCCACCATGGTGACTCACGGCATTGAAGTCAGGGGAAACATCTCTTGACTGCTGAGGGGGTAAAGCATGGCCTGGATGACTCAGGAGTGTCCAAGGACAGAGCCAACCATGCTGTGCTCACCCTGCCTGTGTGTAAGGAACAAGGGGTGCAAAGGGAAAAGAACAGGGGAACAGTTTGACTTGTAATATGGCACATAGGAGTTAGAGATGTAACTATTTTGTACTGTAGGTTTTAGTCTCTGTGAGTTGTGAAGTCTGGAAGCATTCTGTGACAGTCTCTCCAAAACAAAGCTGACAGTGCCAGGAACAGGCAGAACTACTCTGGACCTGGAGGAGTTGCATGGCCAATATTTCAGGCCAGCATGATCTTTTTGGGATACCCTACCAACAATTTGACTTTGATTCCTGCCTGGTCCTGATCTGACTCACAGGCTGCCTTGTACCTGAGGCTCCCTCTTGGCTTACCATGCTCCAGGGAGACTCTGGACACAGGATCCAAGCTGGCTCCTTCCTGGTGGAACGATCTTCCAACACTTAGGCCAAGAGGGCTCCCATCCTCACACA